CTACTTTGCTTGTATCTAATAATTAATTTTTTATCTTTGTTATATATAATTATTATCTTTCAAATTCTTTCAATAATTTTGTTGCTTGAAGATCTTTCTTTGACCTTTCAATTCATTCAAAAAATATTTTCTTTGTAATCTAATTACTATCTTTTAAAAAATATGCATCCTTAAATTTTTGAAATTTTTTTCATATAAACCTCCAAAATATCCTATAATAGACTTGACTTGATTTTTTATAAATAGAGCAAAAGTTAATTAAAATTGATCAATTTTATCCACAACCATATGTAAAACTTTATTTATTATACCTTCTTTGTAATCTATAACCTATTGCTATTGAATAAATAAAGCAAAGGATTCAATCAAGCTAATAAAGATAGGATGAAAATACATATCTTACATTCTATTAGTAGCTCTACTTGTAGTTCCACTTCCAACTCTACTTGAAGCTCTAATTGAAGTACCATCTAGAGATTCTTTTGTGACTTTTTTACCTTCCTTCTCTACTATTCAAATAAACAAAGAAAAAAAAAACCACCTTCTACTTCAAACTTTTTATGCTACATTCAACAAATATGTCATGTTATATAAAAACTATCTTGAAAATACATTAGGTATCTTACTTTAGAAGAGTTTGAACTTACCTTGAAATTTGATTCACAATCCAAAATAATACATAAAGTATTCTGTGATTGTAAAATTCACTCCTTAACCCAATTATAAGATGGGTTCAATTAAAAGTTGCTTGTAATAGGTGGTGTGAAGTGAAAGTAGTAAGAACAAGAACAAAAGAATCAAAACAAAAAACAAGTAGAACAAGTGCAATCAAACAATTATATATTATAAAACTAGTCACAATTTGTTTACTAATTTTTTATTCAATAAAAAATAAAAAATAAAAATAAAAAATATATTTTTAGAAATTAAATTTTTTATATCTTTTCAATGATATAAGAAACATGTAAATCCGAGTTACTATAAGTAAGTTATGAAGGTTTAAAAAATAACAAGTGAATGAATGAAAAATTAAATAAATAACTTTACTTCAAAGGTAACTCGTTTAAGAGATTAGGAATTTAAGCCTCACCAAGGCTCACAGGTACTATATATTGGTTTTCTAAAGAGGCCTTGAGGCCTTAATCTTATCTTCCTATCCATACCCAAGGTGCTACAACCCACATGGAATTTGTACACCTCCCTTCTTACAAGGACTAGACTAGCTGTTTGTCCTCTTATTTTCTACTAATAAAACTCATTTCTTTGCATTTTTCAACTTCACTATGATGTTTAAAAACACCATGTTAGCCTAAGAACCATGTATGGCCTTCGAACCTTGCTTTATTTCTTCATAATGGCTTCCAAGGTGATAAAACTCATTTTTACCAAAGTCTTCAAAATTGCTCTAAAAATTCCTAAAAAAATCTTTAAAAATTCTAAATAAATTCTAAAATTCCTATAATGGTTCTATAATATTAATATCGTTTTAAGAATATAATTTCCTATCTTTATAATTTTTATAGTAATAAAATCAATTTAAATCTACTATAAATCCTACTTTCTACATAACTAATTAAAAAGACATGAGGTTCTTTCTCATGCTCCTTCTAACTACTAACTAACATTTATAGTTTTTCTTATAAATAATATGTATAGATAGAAGGCGAATATAAATATTGACCTTAGTAAATATTTCTCAATACTCAATAATAAATAATAAATACTATACTAACTAAGATAATTACCTCTAATACTTACTAAGACTCTATTTCTTCTCCACTAATACTATTTTCCTTCATTTAACATCCTTTAAGCACATCTTCACCTAACAATTGTAATTTTGGCACTCTACATGTATTCTTTTGTCTTAAAACAACTAGTATATCAATTTGATGACTCACATATTTAAAAACACTCTTTGGCATCTTTGAACAATTCAAACAAGCTTATAATTATCTTAAGTATATTCTATCAAATATACAAAAACCTCATATAAATCTTATATCATTTTAATTGATTATAAAATAGTCTTTAAAAAAATCTTTAATATATTTTAAATAAACTCTAATAAAATTCTAATTAAATCCTATTTAAATTTTAATGAAATCCTAATTGAATCCTAATCAAATTTTAATTAAATCCTAACCAAATCTTAAATTATAATCAAATCCTAAATTCCAAATCCTAGTCAAATCCTCAATCCTAAATCTTAGTCAAATCCTAAATCCTAAATTGTAACCAAGTCCTAAATCCTAAATTCTAGTTAAAGTTTAAATTCTAAATTAAATTCTAATAAAATCCTATGAAATCCTAACCAAATCCTACAATAGAGTAAAACATCAAAAACTAACAATTTAATTTTTGATTTCAACTCAAAATTTTCACATCTTTCAATTATTTATTTGAAAATAAGTACAAATAATTTGAAGAAGATTGAACATACCAAATAGAAGATAAACCTCATAATCTGCTCAAAAACCAACCAACCTCTTTCTCCAACCTTAATGCCAATACGTCACAAATCACACAAATTTCTAGTAACTACAACATGCGATATTTCACAGAAACACTGCAGAAAAGCACCATCATACTTTTTGAAGACCTTTTGGTCTCCGGTGGCTTAACGGTAATGAAATAGCACGATGCGCGTGGATTCTCGCAATGTCCTTGCGGCGGATCGCGTGAGCTCCGCTTCGAAAATGGCCGTAAGCAACCATTGCTCCAATTGCCCGAGCCGTGGGTGCGAGCAGGATGCCGCGGCGGTGAGGAAAAAGCAGAGGCAGCCAAAAGAGCCAGAAGCCAAGAGCATGACAATGAGCTCCAAAATTCTCTAGTTCACGTACCCTCATAATCTTCTGGTTCTCGCCCCTTTCGATGTTGCATTCTTTCACCGCTGGCCCTGCATTGTCTACTGTCCTTTGTTGATCAGGCTATTCGCGAAGACAGCGGGTGAACTTGTTGGGTCGCACAAAATTCAGTGTGGATGGTGGGTGCGATGCAAGCTCTCACTCTACATCAGTAGTCGAGATCTCTAGTTCGTAGCGATTCAACGTGGGGGTCTATAGCGTCGATTCTATGTTCAAGAGGTGGTCGACTTCGTGTTAAGCAGATGCGAAAGTGCGGCTAGTGGACAGGAGAACGAGGTCGCTGGGAAATTACTGTATGATCCGCTGCGGATTTCTCATGAATGCCAATAGAGACGGTTTTTTTCGGAAAAGGGGAGATGGTCTTTTTCTCGACGTGGACGTCTATCTTGGCAGCATCCAGTCCATGAATCTATCATGACATGGGCAGCATTTCCCGGACATGATCGAAAAGGGATGGACTTGACAACAATGGAGCTGTTGGAATGCAACCATTTCTTTTCAATATTATGATGATGCGACGTTGTCATGTGAAGCAGAGGCTCACCCATTCACGCAAACGAATCTACATGTGACCACAACAGTGCGACGTCGACCTTCACGGCTGTGCGTCATCAACATCTTCACCGCTTCAACCTTGAGGGTCGTCACACTTATTGTCGACGGAATTGAAGTGGGTCCAGCCGCGTCCACCTTGAGAGAGTGATTGGTCAAATCATTCACGAAAATAAGTACTATCATGGTGATGCAGCTAGCTCCGAAGAAAAAAACTCCTCACACTGCATCACAATCTACTGGCAAGCCTAAACGGATAGTGGAAGCAATTTTATAAGTAGTCGAGCGGAAACCGCCTCGGAATCTGGATCGCGGCAATGTCAGCAATCATCTATCTTTTTTTTTTTAAGAAAGAAAGAATTTGAGATTTCATAATTCCAATAAGTGATGTGTGATTGGTCCCACACAGTTGAAGCTCGTCTGACAGATTTGGGTGCACACTCCTCCGCCTAGATGTCCACATTTCGACAGTTTGATCGATAAGATTTTCGTATATTCTTCAAAAAGGATTCTGTCACCAGCCGGATCGCCGCCCTTTCTATCCCATCTCGTTGTGGAGAAAAACAACACACAACTACCAGTATTCTGACGCAGACTTAAGGAAACTGGTTCGCTGGCGAGGAATGTACCGTCTTAATTGCAGCTTTCAGGAACTTGCCGCGCCTTGGCGTATCATAGCCGGAGTAACCCAGCTCCAGATAAACTATTCGCACATATGTTTGGCAACATGTCAAGTACAAGTCCTTCACAGTACAATCATTCATATAATTTCATAAATCAAGGGACACAGAGCATCCACTAAAGATTCAAATCATGATGTGGGGTTTCCTGGTTGAAAATTTGACTTCCAGCTGAACTTCCGGATGCACCATTATTATTTCTGGACGCCATCAGAAACGGAACTCTAGTGCATCCAGCGACTGAATGTCCTGCTTATTTCGCTAGTCGCTGGATGCACTAGAGTTCCGTATGCAATGCACCACTAATTTCGCTATCAGACTATGTCTTCTCGATCTCACAAAATCAAATGAGATTCTTTCAGAAATGATAGAGAAAATTACATCCGCATTTCGTGCTTTCGATCAAAGTTGTTGCACACATATCACACCAGGTTCTACTTAGAATCCCAGGTAAAACTGAGAATTCCAAGCTTCCTCATCACTGGGCCAAATCTTAATCTCTGCAGATGTACGCTCGGAGGTGCTACCCTGCAATTCCCTAACAATATGGCAGACTGATCTTCTGTATGACTCATAAGCGGCTAGATATTCACGCTGATGCCGATGTTCGTTGCTATGGGTCTTTCATGAGATGGAAGGAGTGTCCCCGCTCTGCTAAGCAAGTTTTATTCCAATAGCAGCTATTTCAAAATTCTAAGAAGATTTAAAACGTTTTCGATATGATTTGACCAAGGATTCAACCTTCAAATATCACACTTGTGTAAGTTTGCACCACCCTCCAATCATTGTCAACCACACCCAACAAACCTAGGGCAATTATTTACGCTTGTGTTCATGTGTGTTGGATGTGTATGTATGTGTAAAGATATATATATATATATATATATAGAAGCATCCCTTACTTGGTCAAAGACAGACACATCATACTGTGCTTTGCAGATAAAACTGCTGGTGCTAGTTTTCTCATTGAACCCATGATGCAGCCCACCAGTAGGCCCCCGCTTAGGCTTGTCGTGTGGGCTATGCTGATGCCCCTGATATGGCTTCAGGCCGTCGTCGGCCAGAGGGATCCCTTCAGATTAATCACGGATCCTGACAGGACATTAAACTGGCGTGCTGTGGAGGCAGACTTCTTGACTTGGGTTGATCGAGTGGAGCATGACTATGTTGAGAGCGTCAGAGCGGGTGAGGCTGTTCTTGGATGCGCGGACCATAGCATTCTCGCTGGAGGGAACACATTGGTTGTTGGTGGGGGAGGCTACCAGAAAGTTCAAGATGCAATTGACGCTGCTCCGCAAGGAACGAGAACGGTCATTCAGATCAATCCAGGAACTTACAGGTATGATCAATCAGTCATCCTGAATGCCGTTGAACAGTTTACCTTTTCATGTGATATGCTTCATTTCTTTGAAGGCTCCATTGATCAAGAGGAATCCAGGTGCTTTCTCAAAATGTTCGAGATTTAAAATGCGAGCTGCAGATGAACATGAAATGTTGCTGATTTGAATTCGTCTTACTTTACATATGTGTGTTCATATGCAGAGAAAAGATTCTGGTGCCTAAAAGTAAGATTCTCACGTTCCAGGGGATTGAAAACCCAATTCTTTCCTGGGGTGACACAGCGAATTCGGCCGGAAGCACTCAAAGCAGCGCCTCTACAACAATTATGGCTGATGATTTTATTGCAAATGGAATCATTTTCCAGGTTGGTCTGTTAAATTTCATGTCCAGTTCAATTTAGCACACTTCCAGTGCAAGAAAAAATTTATTCATGAAATTTTCTGAAACTATGTTGAACATCACCACCAATCAGAGGTTGTTAACATTGCAAAGGATATGTGCAGAACACCGCCCCTGCGCCCCCAGGTGGAGCGATTGGGAGACAAGCAGTAGCAATGCGAATCGCCGGAGATAAAGGAGCATTTTACGACTGCAAATTTTATGGAGCTCAAGATACGTTGTATGATCAAGAAGGTCGCCATTACTTCAAAAACTGCTACATTGAAGGTTCAATCGACTTCATTTTCGGTGACGGTAAATCTATTTATCAGGTTCGAACCTTATCCAATTCACATGATTCCAAAGTCAAAACGTCGACCAGTGGTATTTTCATTGCAACACATCCACTTGAACTCTGTTCTCGATGCTTGCAGAACTGTCATCTGAATTCCATTGCACACCCTGGGAGTGGTTCCCTAACTGCCCAGAAGAGGAGCGGCGATGAGGACACTGGCTTCTCTTTCGTGGGATGCTCCATCACTGGCACAGGTCCCATATATCTGGGACGCGCTTGGGGCCCTAGCTCTCGAGTCGTCTTCATCCAATGCTACATCTCCGACATCATACTGCCAGAAGGCTGGTATGACTGGGGCGACAGCAGCCGGCAGAAGTTAGATCCCACTCACCCTGCAATCCCATTAACCTTTTCATTGATGTTAATATTACGCGTGGTACTCGATTTTTCCGATGCATCAACTTGAACTGTGTCTGTGGAGATTCTCAGGACAGTCTTGTACGGGCAATACCAATGCTCCGGTCCAGGCGCCAGCGAGAGCGGCCGTGTGGGTTGGTCACATGAGCTCACTGCCGGTCAAGCAATTGCATTCTCCAGTGTGAGCTTCATAGATGGCAACCAATGGCTTCATACGTGACTCACTCAACGGCGCTGCCATCTACCATGTCTGGTCAATGGTCTCAATCAGCACTCATCGCTCACCCATTTGTTCACTGGAAGGAGCGATACCATCAGCGTGAGGTATAGAGCAAGGTCATCACCGGCACCATTGTAACATAGTGACGAGGTCACATGTTTGTGTGTATCTCTCGTGATTGCTTAGCATATCAGCACATCTTCCTTCATGCCACAATGTACAAAATTACCAATAAGGCAGTCTGAATTGTGCTATGTACTTTAATGAATATATACACTTATATATATATATATATATATATATATACATGTATGTGTGTTGCTTTTGCATTGAAGCAGTTTGATGAAGAAAGGGTGCAAAAGGACGTCAGAATCACGTGCCCGAAGGGTATATTGAGACAGAAGTTTTGATGAGCTCTTTTGACACTGATATTCTATTTAATAAGATATTACATCTTTAAAAAAACTACAGATTTTAATTCAAATTAATGTCTGCTAATAAGATATATAATTACAATATATAAACATATTTGTAATATAAATAAGTACATTATTGTACAAATATTGTATAGATTTATATGAAGTATGGTTGAAGCTATGTATTGTAAAGTTATATTGCAATTAAGTTTTTATTTATTTATTTATTTTTAAATTAAGTAATTTATTTATTCAAGTAAAATCTTATTTAGTAAAAAATATTTATATTCTTCTAATTTTAATTATTTTTTAACCATCATTTAGATATTTTATCTTTAAATAGAATATCAAATTTTTTGCAATCTATATAAAGTTCTAATTTTTATATTTTAGATAAATATTGATCTTTGTTATTAAAGATACTAATATTAAATGAGTAATATTGTATAAATCATCAAACATCAATAGAATCTTTAATTAATCTATAATATTCAATTATATTAATAATTGACATATATAGACAGCTTCTTTTACACTTTCTAACAAGACCTTATATTTTCCTTTTGTGGTACTATATGAGAGTTACATGTCTTTTATTTAACCAAAATGTAGGAGCTAAAGCAAGTCTAATTACATAAGCTCAAAGTGATCTTCTTGTAGCATGACACTATGAATTTACATGTTATCGTTTTTGGAAATGCACCAAGTTTCTGACAAGCCAATTTCTATACAATTTATAAGTATCCAAGAAACTTAATATATTTCATTCTTATAAGAAGAGTATAATTTGAATTTTAATTCAAAGTACTTAAATCTAATACAACGTGGTCAAAAACATTCTTCTTAGTAATCTCAATTATATATAAACTCCAATTTCCTTATTACTTTCATAATTAGGTATTATTGATTTTTCTTTGAAAGCCCTCCCTAATCAATAAGCTTTAGTAAGTTGTATCTCCTAATCTAACTGTCACTTGAAGCAAAACTTTACACACAAATGCCACTATAAGTCTTTTATGTGCTCAAAAGAATTCATGCCACTCCAATATATAGATCATGAAAAAACATCCATAAACCACACTGGTGTTACTTGACTACCAACTTGAAAGTTGATACAAATGTTCCAATAGTGATTTCTCCTTCATCAACCATTAACTTCAACTTCAAATTGGTATATAGCCTGAACTTCAAGTCTTCTAACACCATGCCAAATTTCACTTTGATTCTATAAGTAGATCTTCAAATATCATAGAAATCCTATCCAATCCTAAACTATCAACTTTTGATACCTTTTGTATCAAAACCTAGATATCTCTCAACTACACTATTAGATTAACATAAAATTTTACATACACTTAGCACATCTAATTAATCAAGCATTGTCAAATTTTAAATTATAGATGTGACACCAATTTTAAAAACTAGCTAAGAATACTAGTCCAAATTGTATTGCATCAATCCCAAGATATCAATACAAATCCTGACTTTGACAACAATTGCAAAGTCAAACCAAAGCTTTTCAAAATAAGCCTTATGTTTCTAAAACAAGCTCTAATTTAGTTCTCCAACTCTAATTATTGATCTTTAAACAAATCCCTATTTTGCTCCAAGTGGTCGTTTTAGTAGCTAGAGGTTTGATTTTGACCCTGCCTCAAAACAGTCAACCCCCGGATATCAATCTAACCTATCCTAAGGATTTTTTAGCTCAATCCTATCTTCAATTTAATCTTAGTATCAATCATATTAATTATTTATCTCTTCTAATTTGATTTTATCAATTTATAATCTTTCTAACATAATAAAAGAGTCTATATAATTTAAAAGGTAAAATTATTAATCAATCTTTAATTTATTAACTATTAAGATAAGAAAATAAACTAAAAGGCTTTTATAAAAGCCATGTTTAAAAATCTTGAGTTATTATTGAACCAAGATAATTAGATATTAATTAGAAATTCATTTATGATTGTATTTTCACTATATAGTTGTATTATAATATGATAACACCTCAGATAGTGAATATTTATAAATCTATCTTATATTATATTTTTTTCTATTAATATTTTTTTAATATTTTTTAATATAATTTAAAGAGTGTAAAATATATAAATTTGATTCTTACTATTTTTAGTTTTTTTAGTTTTTTCATACATGTACTCATAATGTCAATTACATATAATATATTTAGATGAGTGAATATGAAAAAAAATTAATTTATCTATTGCATAAAAATAATTTGATACATCTTATTCTTTTATATTTCTCTTTGCAAAAAAAAAAATATACTTTTTTGGCAAAAATATAAGCTCAAGGCTTGAATCCTTTATTTTAAATTTCTTAATTAATTGATAGCAATAAGCATGTTGATGGATAAATATCTCTTTTGAGGTACAATAAAATTCAATGTATATATATTTTTAGATTATGTCTAATTCTTTCATCTTATATTTCACCATAAGATGAAGCTTCACTTATCTTATTTGCTTTAGTTCAATACTTGTAACAAGCAGAGTATCTATAAAAAGTATTATAATTATTAATTCTTAGTAAAACATGACTAGACTATCTCAAAAATCTAAGATCCTTCAAATCCATAGTAAAATAAAGCCTGATTACAAAATAGGAAAAAACAAACCAAAACAAAACTAAACGAAATTAAATAGAATAGGACATGAAAGACAAAACTGAACAAATGAAAATAAAATAGAACAAATAAAAACAGAATAGAACAGAATTGAATAGAAAGATGTAGAACCAAATTTTACTAAGAAGATGGATTAAAAGCCATACATGATTAGATGCCCCAAAAGGCCATAGCCGGTCCTAGATATACCTTGTTCTATCACCTTGGACTTTCTAGAATGTTCTTAGGTGGTTGATCCTACCTATATAACTATCCTAAGCTTCTTCTAAAAGGTTCTATGGTAGGCCCTACTTGAATAACTACCTTAAATTTTTTTTAGAATGTTTTATGGTGGATCCTACTTAATCCACTAACGTAATTCCAATTCTAGAAACTTCCAAGGTTTTAACTATTTATACAATTATCTTATCTATACCCTATTAAAATTAATCTTTCTCTACTAATGCGGAACGTTCTCGTTTTGCTCCTGATGATATCTCTGAATTGTCTCTTGGCAATAGATGAGGTTTTGTATAGGTTTCCATGTGATAACCTTTCCAAAGGACTTTGTATTGAAGTTGTAGACGTCTACTACCATGATGAAAATAACGATGTTCCAAAATGTTGTCCACTTCATATTCTTGTTGGTCATCAACTACAACTAGTAGTGGTAGTGGTCGTCGATGTTTATCCGAAAAGCGCTTTAGTTTGGTATGAAATTATTTCAATTATAAAACATGAAAGACTATATGGATCCGAATATGTGGCAAAAGCTAAATACAATATACAACATCAAAAAATTTTGCAAAAATACAAAAAGATCTAAGCCATTGAGGTGCTAGTTTACCGATTTAGATTGATGTAATAAGTGGTAATTGGGGTTGAAAAGTTACACTTGATCATCCTCCCAAAAGGTCTTGTATTACCGATGGTTATCTACATATTACTTCTATTAATTATATGGAATAAAAAGGCAGCATTGTGTCTCTTATAAGGCCATTGTAAGTCATTGTATAAATTCTTCTATTGTCTAGTTGTTGGTGTTGATGGAATAATGAAGAGTTGTTAGCATAAGTAGATATTGACATTTATTCAAGAAAAATGGTAAATGACTAGTATTTGATTGAATACTATCATTGTAAGCAAACTCAAAAGGCGTCAAATATTCATCCCATTCATTATGATAAACCGCCACAAATGTTTACAGCATATTTTCCAAGGTCCAATTTGTATGCTCTATTTGCCCATCTATTTGGACATGGAAAGTTGTAGACATGGCAAGTCGTATAACTAGTAGTTTAAAAAAAGCTTGTCAAAAAGTTCTTGTGAAGTATGGAACTTGATCTGAAATAATGACATGAGGTAATCTATGATGACAAAAGATGGTATCAAAGAAGATTCATGCAAACATTGAGGCATCAATATTTGAGTGCACCATGGCTAAGTGAAGTTGCTTCAAGAGTTGATCAATAAAGATAACAATTGTAGTATTATTATAAGGTATCTGCAACAAACATGTGATGGAATCCATAGTCACCTGCTCTCAAAGTGTCGTAGATAGTAAAATTGGTTGCAATAGTCCAAGAGACAATGAATTGTGAGTTTTGTTATGTTGACATGACTTGCAAGAGTGTACAAAGGCTCAAACATCACAATCCAAACCTACCCAAAATTATGTCCTTAAGATCTATTTTAGAAACTTTTTTTGTCCCAAATGTCTAAATATTGGGATGTCATATCTTTCTTAAAGTATATGTGTCTATAATTTAACATTGTCATTTACATAAATTTTCTTCTTGAAATAGGGTAAGCCATCAGTAAGAATGTAATCTTCATATTATATATTGCCCACTTCCAGCCGATTGCTAACTATCTTGAAATAAGCATCTTCATGCAAGGTCTCTTTTCATTTTGCTTCTTTAGTTAGATCTAAAATGATACTACTAATAGTAGCAACTTCTATCTTATCTCTCAATTGGTCTTTTAAGTCTAGTCTTGGCAATAAGCTATCTAGCATAGTATATTGTTGCTCTTGCTTATATTCAAGTTGGATATCAAAAAGCTACAAGTGTTCTTTTCAATGATGATGCCACAATTTCATATTTTTCAGATGCAAATCATGTAACAAAGGACAATGGTCAATCTGAACAATCATTGGCTTTCTCAATAGATAGTGTTGCCACACCTTTGTGGCATATACAATTGCTAATTGCTCTTGATTATGTCTTGAGTAATTACACTCCATCCTTCTGAGTTTGCATGATTCATATGCCACAGGTTGAAGGCTCCTACCAA